ATGCGGGTGGCGCAGCCATCGGGCCAATTGTCCCGATGGTTGGAGGTCCTTCAGGACTACCAATTCACGACGATTTACCGCAAGGGGTTGCGCCACTCGAACGCGGATGCATTGTCACGGTTGCCGACGCGTACGGAATGCGCATGTCAGTTGGGATCGGCGCGGTGTAAACCTTCTGTCGATGTCCCCGCGGAAGTAGTGCTAGCCGCTACGGATACTACGGGGGTCGACGCCCCCACGGGGAGGGACTCGCTGTTAGCATTGCCTCTCATCGAGTGGGGCCGTCTGCAAATGGCCGACAGCTCCCTACTCGCGCTACGTCGGAAGGTTAACGTTCCCGAGGGCGGGGAAACGCGGGTCGGTTCCTGGGTGTGCAGACAGGGCCTCTTGATGAAGTGGGACTCCATGTCCCGGCGTCACATGCTTGTGGTGCCAGTTGCTGTACGGGGTAAGGTCGTCCTGGCTGCCCATGAACGACTCATGCATCTGGGGTTTCATAAAACGCTCGCCCTCATTCAGCGAGACTACTATTGGCCTGGGATGGGCAGTGACGTGGCGAACATTCTTAAGGGGTGTGTAGGGTGCGCTAAAAGAAAACCGCCACAAATAGCGGCTAATCCACCGCTTCAATCCATTCAAGTTTCGCGCACGAACGAATTGGTCGCGCTAGACATCTTGGGGCCCTTTCCCACTACACCTCGGGGAAATAAGTTCCTGCTGGTTGGCGTAGAGTACTTCACCCGCTGGCCCATGGCGTGGCCACTCGCCAACCAGTCGGCTGCGGCGGTGGAGGACGCCTTTGTCCAAGGTTACGTTTTGGACAAAGGCGCCCCCGAACGCTTGCTGACGGATCAAGGGAAAAACTTTTCGAGTGTTTTGTTGCGCGAGGTGTGCGACCTGTTGGGTACAAAGAAAGTACGTACCTCCCCGTACCACCCGCAGACTGACGGTATGGTTGAACGTCTGAACAGGACGATTACGTCTATGCTGTGCCAACAGGTATGCGACGACCAGGTGGATTGGGACTTACAGGTACCGGGGGTACTAGCGGCCTATCGGATGGCACCCCATGCGGCGACGGGGTTTTCTCCATTTTTTCTGATGTATGGGCGGGAGGCTGATCCGGCCATGGACGTCCAACTGGGGATTTCACAGCCACGTGCGAAATCAAAATTGGCAGACCACATTAAGTTTAACATCGCCAAATTGGCTGAGGCGCGGGAGGCTGCGAGGTTGAATTCACGCTCTCGACAGATCGCGAACGAGCGATTGCGTGAACGGAAGGTGCATACGCACAATTGGGAACCGGGCGATAAGGCCTGGCTGCATTGTCCACACGCACCGTTGGCTACGTCCCCCAAACTGTTGAGACCATGGAGGGGACCGGTGGAAATTGTGCGGGTTGCACGACCCCAGAGTATACAGATTAAATGGGGAAAACGCCGTTGGTACGTGCACTCCTCCCGACTGAAACCCTACGCGGCACCACGTGACCCCGGGTTGTGCCGTGACGACCGAGCGTGTGATGTGACCGTCGACTCGGGGAGGGATGTGTCGCAGGCTGATCCTCACGTGTCTCCACCTGACCCACCCCCAGGTGTCTCGGACCTGACGGCTGTTGACCGTCGGGAACCGGAACCCCGCGGCTCGCACGGAGCCCCGATGCCTGGCCCATGCCTTCCTGAACTGCCGGCGCCGCCGGATGGCCAACTGCGTCCTGTGCCGTACGACGGTCCGGCAAGGCGGACTCGGTCAAGGACGCAACACTTTTCATGAAAAAAAAAAAAAAAAATTTCTTTTTTTGTTAAAGCCCGACTTCGTTGCCGGCTTCCCCCTCTGCCGGGGTAATGTCCCGTTCAAGGGACGCTCGGACATCGGGACGCTGCATGAGTCGGAGAGAAAAGAAGAGAAAATGATTAAAGAAATTTTTTTTTATTGTTACTCTTTCCGCATACACAGTATCGTTGCCATTCGCCGGATTGTGCATGTTGTTCTTGTTGCGGGTGTGGCGGTTGCTGGGTTTTGCGGATTGCGGTGTTCATGTTGTGTTGTTAGGGTTTGTGTTATGTTACGGGGCACACGTGGGGGGTGAAGGGGTGTTGTATGTTTTATTAGCAGCCGGGTCGGCTGCGAGCTATGTGGTAGGGGGTGATGTAGTGGTGGTATTGACGTGCGCCGGGAGTGATGGATCACGGGGCGCGGGGTTGGGCACGCGGTGTGGGCGTGGCAGGGACGCGCGCGCCGGTGGTGAGGCGCGCTCACACAAGCTGGGAAAAGAGGATCGTAGCGAGTGCGCAGTGATTGGTCAGATAAGTGAGTACTCTCAGCGACGTCCGCAGGAGGGGTATAAAGGGGGACGCGCGAGAGCACTCGTGGTCAGTGTTAACCAGTTGAAGACCGAAGACGGGGTGGAGGAGGTAGGGGCCCTGTGTGGCTCGGAGCCGAGACTGGGGGGACCGTAGTCCGACGCCCGTGTGGGTCGGGACGGTGGTACCCAGAGCCGAGACGGGCACCCCGGCTGGGTGTGTCCCGGAAGGCTACAGGGCGTAAGAGCCCGTGTCAGTACAGCTGAGTGGGTGTTGGTCACCCGTGTAGCTGAGTGGGTGTTAGTCACCCGTGTAGCTGAGTGGGTGTTGGTCACCCGTGTAGCTGAGTGGGTGTTGGTCACCCGTGTAGCTAAGTGGGTGTTGGTCACCCGTGTAACGAAGTTGTAGTTGAGTGGGTGTCCGTCACCCGTGTAGCTAAGTGGGTGTTGGTCACCCGTGTAACGAAGTAGGGTGTTAGTCATCCGTGTAACTACAAGTTGGTGAAAATAAAGAGTGTGCTACCCGTGAAGTCGTCTCCTGCCGAGTTACTACTTTACATATACACTACACTATATAATGACTACCATATAGTTTAACTGATAAAAAAAACTAAAATATAAATTGCATCAAAATAATCAATTAACTCAATATATTCTCCAATAAGCCGAGCTACTAACAATAAGTCATTATACATTACACTTCTATGTGGAAAAAAGTGGCGTTTTTTTCTTTAACGTTAGCACCACGGAAAGCGGCGAGCGTTGTTCAGACGGACCAGTCCATCTATGCTTGGAACGAAGAAGGGGGGAGATAGAGACACACAACCATGGTGCACTACTCTGCCCTGTGTGTGTTATAACTATGCCATAAACTAGACTACTATACATTACAATATTATACCTTCCAATCTAAACTACACTGTATGATATTGTATATACAGCCCAATATAAGCTCTAATATTATGCATTATATTGATATGCCTCCAACTAAACTGGTTTCTACATCACACGACTATACACCGTACTAAACACTGCCATAGACAAACCCCAACATTGAATTATACACTGCGTTCCTATACACTACCCTATACCTTAGACTATACATTGTAATATTACACTATGTAATATTCTACAAACCCTACCTTATACCACACTGCTGTATATTCACTATACAATTACGATAATATATATTATCTTATACATTCTATTAAACATTACACTATTATACTATTGATTATTACAATCTACTTTACACCATACCATTGACTGTTGCGTGAAAGGTACTAAGAGGAAGCAAAGAAATATGTCAGTGGGAGAGTGGTAGAAGGAAACTTGCAGCGGAGCAAAGACTCCGATCCGTGAAGAGGATACAAAAGCTATATAGTCAATGCCAGCGAATGGAATGCAGTCTGAAAGTCACTGTAAACGTGAACACAATCAATTAAGACCCGAAATAGTTTATCACGTCCTTTCAATGATTGCTGAGCCAGAATCCATCTTCTCAGTTGAAATTGTCTCTGTGTTTGTATATGTTGATGGCCTCATGAACGAATCTCTCATGGTAGCCGGATGGCTTGCAGAGAACCTCCGTCTTGGAGAAGTCAATGTCATGTGAGCCCACTGAATTATAACAATGGTCTGTCACGGCTGAGGTGTTGGTCTTACCGTGTCAGGTCTGCTTTGTTTTCACGGATGCGGTCCGAGACATGTCGTTTGGTTTCTCCAATATCACTGCTACTACATAGGCAACTTAGTTTGTAGACGCCAGGGTACTGTATTTCTGGAATCACATATTTTACAGATAGGACCAGATCACGGATTTTATGTACTGTGTCAAATCGGACCTGGATCTTGTGTTTATTAAGGATTTTGGAGATCTTTTTATTTTTTTGTGACCCACACAATGTACGGTAAGGTGATGGTTTTGAATGGCTCCTCAAAAGGATCTTTCTTCATGGTTGGAATAATGGCTTTGCGGATTGTGTAGTCGGAGTAACCATTAGCCCTGAGAGCTTGGTGTACGTGCTTGAGTTCACTGGCAATGTGTTCCTTGTCGGAGATGCATTGCGCTCTATGGTGTAGAGTTTTGATGAGGGGATTCTTCTGGGATGGATAGTGGTGGGAATCCGGTTTTAGGTAAGCATCCATATGGGTAGCTTTCCTGTAGACAGAGTGGCTCATTGAATCATCAGGTCTTTTTTTTTATTAGGACATCCAAAAAGGGTAGCTTGCCATCTTTTTAGACTTCCATGGTGAATCTGATGGCTGGATGTATGGAATTGATGTGGTCGAGAAATTGGTCTAGAGTAGGCCGGCCATGTGGCCAGATGACAAAAGTGTCATCCACGTACCTCTTCCATACAGTCGGGCATAGAGTGGCAGTCTGGATGGCGTCAGTCTCAAATTTCTCCATGAAAACGTTGGCTACAACCGGAGATAGGGGGGAGCCCATTGGGGTGCCCTCAGTTTGTTTGTAGAAAATTCCATTCCAGATGAAGTATGTGTTGGTTAAGCAGTGTCTCACCAGGGGGGGTACCTCAGTATTCAGTCCTTGATGAACTAAATCTTCAATGATTGCGATGGTGTCAGATATGTTTATACATACGTGACAAAAGCCCAGTTCATCATTTCACATGACGTGTTATTTCTAAGAACAGATTAAGTTTACCTTCATCTTGTCCCCATCCTCCTACAGTCTCTACAACAACAAGACCATGGCAAGGTAATGGCACATAAACATTCACACAGCGGGACAAGACACGCAAACCATTAATCGGGCGTATAGGAGCTCCATTAGTAAATACGACTGTAAAGTGTATCAGATGAACGTTTGTCTACAGTACATGATCAAATTATTGTAGGATACCGTTAATTCATTGCAACAAGGCAAGTGTGTAAACGCAGCTAAGATGGTGCATGGCAGCATCTTCCCTCTGGAGCTAGCTCTTTGGGTCCCTCCTGGCAAAACCCCGAAGTGAGCTCCCTTACGAGGGGTCCCTCATGGAACAGCCCCCATGTCAACCACCTTCCCTGTTGGTCCCTCTTGGCAGAGCTCCAATAAGTCTCGACAGTAATGATGATTCGATGCAGCTACTCACGTATGTACTTTTAACTTCTTTCGCACCGTATGTAAGCCAAACGTGGTAATTCAGAGGAGCTACTGTACAATGCCCATGGCTGACCCCTTTGACCTCCGCCACCCATAAGGGTTTAGTCATAGAGAGAAGCCGGTGGGAAAGGAGGTCAACCAAGGGAAAGTGAGCAACAAAGCCCAAAGTGCCATAGTTGGCATACCCACACTGTGCAGGTAGCAAGTCTCATCTTAGTTTACTGTAGCAGCCTTTGCCTAGTCACTTACTCATTCCATAGCAACCCAAATATTATCAGAATATTTTTCGTAATAAAGTAGTTCTAAAAGTAACCCCTAAAACTGTGTATTTTACCAGGTAAGGCCCACAGCGTTCCATAGCTGTTTTTCAGAAGTGACCTGGCTACAAATTATAGCTCAACAAAGTGGCTCATCACGTGGAAATGTATAGCAGCCAAATACTCAAAATGTATATTTCTAAATGGGGAGGGGAAAACCGGAGGAGCCAGAGAAAAATCCACGTGACCAGTTCATTATTTTCTTTTACAGAGAAAGACAGGAAGTACAAGACAACATGTGTTGTGACAGTAGTTGAAACTTAAGCACCAAGGAAAGCCGCAGATGGTGATAATTACGTAAACTTAACTTGTATGATAAACTGCAGTATGTTCAATAAATAATACCCAAGCGTGACGCTTTCATCGGAGAAAATAAGGCACAAGTATGAATGTTGATTAGTGGAGATTTGTTGATAAGCAAGTATGGCATATGACGAGAGAATAACAACGTGACTCTCGTTGCTTTAGGTGTGCAGTGGCCATTGGCTAGTTTTCTGTAACACCCAACAGAAGAAATTGACATCACCAGACGGTAGAACTGAAACACTGATCTATTGCACCAGGGTTATTCCAACTAGTGGTCTGCAGAACAGATGAGGCCCTCAAAGGCTCTTGGAGTGGTCCTCAGAACTATGGCTTACTGAGAAATTTGGCCTGCTGCGAATTGTTCGGGTTAAAATGAGTAAAATAGTAGATGAGATATCTGGTGGTCACGGGCACAGATGTTGGGAGTTTATGATACCATGTCGTTTGTACACGTAGGCTGCAAGCACACGGTAATGTTATATCAGAATTAGAATATGTATTTATACTGGAGGAATCTGATGAGCGATAAAGTTGTTTTTCACAGATGTCCAGTAGTGGTGGGTGAGAACGTTACAACAACAATATATAAAAACGATAGTAGTGCAATATACAAGCATGGTAAATAAATCACCCAAAAAACATACAAATACAACTAAACCATCCCCATCCTACCAGGTAAAGACCACTGAAGACATTTTTCAGAAACGACCTGGCTACAAATAATTAAAAGCTAAAAAAAACGGCTCATCATTTGGACATTTAAAGCAGCAAAATAATACAAATAATTTGTCCCTGATGGACAATTCAGTTGAAGCACCTTGGCAATTGCTACATCTGTATCTATAAAAGAGCAAAGGGAAACTGTATTAAAGCTCGGGTCGGTGTACACGACCATTGAAACGGACTCAGATCACAATCGAACGCTTGCAGAAGTTGAGAGGTATCCAGCGACAGGTGGAGGCAGATACTTTTGAGACATTGGAGCTGAAATTCGTCGGTTTGTGACAAAAATGGCAGAACATTGTAGGATGATGTTCCACTCTTGTAAACCATAAAGAAGGTTATTCTGAACTAAAACACACCACAGTCGGTTTCTGAGAGGACAAAGAGCAGATATTTAGGCCCATAACATACCTAATACTATACACTACATTTAATGTATTAACATGTTTATCTGGTACGTACATGTATCTGCGTGGACACACATATATAATGGAAATGTACAAACCAATTTATAATGTTACACCTATATGCATCGGAATAAGTCATATTCCTTCACGTTGCAGATACGATTCACTTCTACAACGAAAGTGGCACCATATCATCGACCGATTATGCACCCAACGACACGACCGTGGACTATCTTTTTGTCATTCACACCGTGGATCCGCACGTCATCAAGATCAAGTTCCAGTGGCTCAGGTAAATGGCTCGTCACACAATGCACAGCAATAACGGGTTTCCCTCACAACATGCGGTAGTTCGATGCATCCCAAGAAAAGGGCGCACGGAGTGAAACGGCACAAAGAGACAGCTCCCTACCGAGTCGCGCATCCAGTACACAAAAAAATGTTGACCCACGTCCGACCGTATGGCCACACATGAAGTGAATTCAAACCACATCGCAATTTTTTTGTCTAGAAATAGGTGAACAGCATATCAGAATAGAGGATATGTATTTATACTGGAGAAATCCGATGAGCTATAAAGCTTTTTTCACAGATATGCAGTCGGGGCAGGTCAGAACGTTACAACAACAAATAATGCAAACACGATAGGAGTACAACGTATAAGGAAACTTAAACAAATCACTTCAAAATACAAATAAAACTAAACTATGGTTTATCTTACCAGGTAAAGCCCGTTGAGCTATAAACTTCTCAGAAGCGACCTGGCTATCACAATAATAGCTCAACGAAGTGGTTTATCACGTGGAAATATATAGCAGAAAAATTACGTAAATAATCTAGACCCATGTTTCTAAACGTGAAAGCAAAACCGGAGGATGCAGAGAAGAAATCCACGCGACCACGGGGAGAGAGACATGCAAACTCCAAATATTCAGCAGGCGTCAGGGTCGGGATCGAATCTCCGACCTCCTGCTAAATTGCACTCCCATAAAGCGAGGGAGACCTGTATATATCAGACCACCGAGGACGTGAACTAGCCTATATAGGAGACAGTACATCATAGTTCAGGTGAATATTTAGTCTCGCTGTGTACAAGAGCCTATGTCCAAATAACCTGGAATGCACTGGATCTTGAGCATTCCAGGTTCATCATCCAAGCTTGGATAGTAATTGGACGATTAACCACCACGCACAAAGCAAATTGTTATTGACTGCTGGGTTGTGTGCTGGTTAGCAAGGTTCAGTGCATCAAAGCCCAATGTCATACTGAAATATGCTCTCGCTATAACAACAACCGCGATTTATCACAAATTGGCAGTTACATCACCACGGCGGTAGTGCCAGGCTATGTGTACTTAAAAGGTCACGTGCAGTTTCGAAGGCTCGTTGGCAGGAGGTCACGAGACAGACCTAGGTACCATGGGTTGACTGACTGAGATGACTGGCAGATGCACCACGTGTGCTCCCTACTGTTCTAGTTTGCTGTGTTTTAACACCTGACGCTCCACTCGTTGTTGTGAGCGTCACTCCTCTGTCCTCCGTTATTTTGCCCAATGTATAAATAATCTACTCACAAATATCATTGGCTCGGTATCTGTGAGTCCATTGAGAGATGGCTGCAGACTTCCTGATGGCGTTGCTTGTTCTTGGGCAACTGCTGATCTTGCTTCAAGCCTGTCTGATTATACAGGCTTACATCTCTCTGAAGTGAATTTGTTACCACAAATCTGACACACTCTATCTGACTGCATAAGTGTTGACTACAAATACGACAATGTTAAAGCTCAATTCGCTAAGGAAATGTGTATTTGTGTATGTGCAGCTTAAAGAATAATGAATATCCGTGCTCTCAAAGCGTGGAGGTGATGAACGTGAATTTTGGCGTGGACATACTAGCCCATCTATGTGGCACAACAAATGGGTCCATAACCCCATACAGCATAAAATCTATGGGACCGGGAATCAGCTTGGAGCTCTACTCTTCGAATCCTCTCGAAGGTATGTTCTAAACCAGTGACATAATGTGTCAGTATGTAAATCTATTTCGCACACCGTACGTAGACAACCGTACTAATTGAACTAAACTCATTAAACTGTCAATTACTTTTGTTCATGTGAAGTCCCAGTAGATTTCAATTCAAAATCATATCTGCTTCAATATTACCTATGTGTATTTATTCTCTGAAGGGCTTGGTCCTGCATATTTGTTACCAATTTCATCTTTCACATAGTCTCCATCCCATACAAAATTTCTCCCTCCCAAATCCACATAAGCAACAGTTGATTTGCGTTCGCAGACACAATAACGATGTGAGCTATGAATACGATTTTATTAGGAAGCCACTGGATCTCTGCACTTTTAAAACCAATTTGAAAACTCATTTATTTTAGAACTGCGATAGTTTGTTGTCCTTCCTTCGGCACCTCCATTTAGCACAGTTGGCTATGTAGGGTGCGAAATAAGTTCAACATACATATTAATATTTGCTTTACAAGGTAAAGTGTACTCAGATATTAGCTCTTTTTAAGAGGTGACCTGGCCATACATAATACAGTAGCTCATCGACGTGACTTATCACGTGTGGGAATTCATGGTAGTCAAATAATCTAAATGCATGCATCTAAATGTAGAGAACACAGTTATATTATCCATAAGAGTACATTGTTGTATAAGGTTAACCCTTTCCCATTTCGAGACGTCTGCAAGTTGCAGGGTTGGTCCCGTTCACCGCTGCATCTCGAAATACGCAAGCAGTCAGCATACATTTTATTTAGAGAGGCATAGCGCCGTTTCTTTTATAAAGACATTGTACATTGTATTTATAATAACCCATGTATTTGAATTATCTTCGTCCAGGGAACGGGTTTAAAGTGACATACACAAGTATTGCTCCAACAAGAACTGCAAAAGGTCAGTTCTCCCTTTTAAGTTTCATTTCAATTGAGGAGAAATTGTGTCAAATGTCTTGGACAACACCACACATGAACATTGCGAAATTCTTTCCGTCATATTATTGTTCTTGATTTTTTTGTTCAGAGGTAGACAACTTGAGCGATATTATCAATATGTCAACATCTCTCCATTTTCATCTCAATTAAATCCCCATACACCCCCCCCCCTCCAGCAATCTCTTTACTCGAGCAACTCAGGTTTTATGTTGTAGCGTCAATGGGGGTCATCTGGAACCATTTTCGCAGGCACGTCTGTGCTGTCGAAATCCTGGCTGTGTTAAGTAAGGCTTAATATCTGGTTTGATTCCTCTTCCAATAACTCGCTTTTTATAAATAACCTCCTTATTTTAAAGCTGGCTCGTTCTAGCGCTGAGCTATATGGGATGTACTTAAGTAAATTTTTGTTACCAAAAATGATAGCTCAACAAAGTGGCTTATCAACATGTGGGACTACATTGCAGGAAAATAATCGAAGCGTATGTTGATTCTAAATGTGGAGGGAAAAACCAGAGGACCCAGATAATAATCCACTCGACCACAAGGAGAGAGACACGCAAACTCCGAACCCACAACTTGGAACATCTGGTTATCGATCTTAACAGATTATTTGACTCATCGTTGCATGTCTAACTGCATACTGACCAGCTTTTTCTCTAACCACTGGCTTATAAAGCTACAACGTGTGGCCATTCAAAATTCCACAATGGAAAGGAGTGCTAAAAGCTACTTTTTGGCAACATATTTTCAAGGTAAAACTCGTAAGCTATTATAATATGAAATAAAATGTTGTGATATTGCTATTCTTTCACAAAAAAAATCACAGCCTGTGGGGATGAGTGGCTCGGACATTCAAATCCGTGGGTCGTGCAGCTGATTTCCAACCACTCTTCGAGCTGCTATGCAACCATTATCAACAACAAGTGGCTCGTGACTGTGGCACACTGCTTCAGCAACACGTAAGAACCACATCACACGACTTGTACAATATTGCAAATAGTTCCGGCAAGAACAAATGCATCTTTAAATCTTATTCTATAATTACCGGCTGTGGTAAAAAATTATTAGGAATACACTGCATCTCGCCCTATTTCGGAAGGGCATGTTGGTTTTTATTTGATTGTGAGACAATCAGGTTGTTAAAGGCTCAGGGTAACGCGGTGGGCAGCAGGGGGCAGGGGAATTGTTTTGATGTACTCCATTTCTATCCATCCGTGTCTATGCTACTCATCCTCATCAAACCGCACTGACTACCATGGTGAAGTATGGTTAAATAACCCCGATGGCACGGCATGGGTAGGTCTTCATCTAGCAGAGTAATAATATTTATACTGAGAATAGGTTTTCCCCTTTTACCTGGCAAGGAAACAGGTGTTAAATTGTTAAAACACCAAACTGAAACCTTTTACAAGGAATCATGTCTACATTAACCACAATAATTGTGGTCAAAATGCAAAGACAATGCAATATTATCTGATCTTGAATTGAAGAATTCGTGACTGCAGGAATCAATACTCTTTAGTTAGTTTGGTAAAGTAACGTAGGTAGACAAAATAATAGATTACGACTTTTCGATCGCAACGCAAGCGGCCGTCTTCAGGTGAGAGAGAAAGCCAGCTGCGAGACACGGCATTATATAGACCCGGGCGGGGAGGGGGAGGAGGGGGGGCCGCCGCATCGAACGAGCGGGAGATGTGCCCCGAGATGGCACTGCACAGACCCGGGAGAGGGGAGGGAGAGGGGAGGGGCCGCCGCCCCTCCCATCTCTCTCTCACCTGAAGACTGTCGCTTGAGTTTTGATCGAAACGTCATGATGTATTATTTTGTCAACCTACGTGACTTTACCGAAATAACCAAAGAGCATAATATTATCAGAGTATGTTTTTATTATCAGAGTATGCTTTTTGTTTTCATTTTGACCACAGGTATTGTGGTTAATGCAGACATGATTCCTTGTAAAAGGTTTCAGTTTGGTGTTTTAACAACTTAACACCTGTTTTGTTGCCAGATTAAAGGGGAAACATCTATTCGCATATTTTGTTACTGGCAAAAGAGGTTCCATGATGTAAATATTTATACTTATAATGCTCACAGCATTTAATCACTCTAGAATACAAAGAACCACGAAACAGTGGAAGGATAGCCAGGTACTAACTATTGAAGTATTTTTATTTTCAGCAGGTATGGCTCATTGAGATATATTGCTCTTATTTATAAGCGACCTGGCCACAAATGATAGCTCAACAGAGTAGCTTATCACGTACATATTTACAGCAGCCAAATACTCTAAACGCTTGTTTCCAAATGTGCAGGGATAAACCAGAGGACCCAGATAAAAATCAACAATGGCCACGGGGATAACATGCAAACTCTACATATGCAGGCGTCAGGGTCAGGTTCGAACCCACGACTTCCTGTATATCAGGTGAGGTAGTTAACATCTTGCCACCTTGGCTAGCCGGCGCCAACAATTGTCCAAGCTATGCTGTTATCAACGTCAGTTTAACACTTAGGCTTTTGCGACCAATATCTTCCATAATACAAGTTTTAAGGGTTAAATCACATAAATATATAAATGTGTCGTTAAACCTTCCATCACCTAACACAGCCAATTAGTAAAGTTTGTCACGTAAACAGAACATGCCCATTCATTACTAGTACAGAACAGCGGTGTGTTGGAGAGCATAGCTGCAACATTTGCAATCTGAGTACGACGTTTCGCCATTGATTACAACGAGCTTCATCAGGCAGCAGACAGATCTGTGGAGAAATACCTCCTGTTTCGTTCCTTAAGTCTATCCCATCTACCCCCTGAAAACACTCTATCCAAATACAGATTGTGCAGATGGAGATGAGCCCACATTTTGAGTTATTTATGTTGAACTGCTTTTGCACCGTACATAGCAAACCATGCCAATTAGAGGTGTGGCGGAAGGCCAAACAACAAAAAACAAAAATCAGTTCAAAAAAATTAGTTTTAAATCTATATTTAAAAGTGCATAGCAGCAGTGGCTTCCTAATATCAGAAGAAAGATGGTTCCAGACAGCCGCAGAAGCGCATCTGAAAGTACGCGATGTGGTGATCGCCTTTTGTTCGATAGCTAACCAAAAGCCACTGCAAGTTTGGGTGATGATGGTGTGATCTCCTTGACGAGATCAGCAAGGTATTGTGGTTCATTCGTGTGACGAGTGCAATGTGCCACCCGTCCTGGCAAGCCAGGGCACCTCAAAACCCACGGGCAGATAGTTGAGCAACATTTGTGTTATCCAGCAACCTCCACAGTGTTGTATTCCAGGCATGCGTTAGCAGTACCCAAAGGGGTGTACAGTTACACGTGTAATGGAGGACTCCAAATGTGGCCATTTCTTGGATAATGTTTATTGTCCTCAGCAACAACGTCCAGTACCCACCACCAGCCAAAACAAGTCCCTTGCTTTCCTTCTCTTGAGCACCCCCATTCCCCCCTCACCCCTTCCTTTTATCCTCTTCCCCACTCTCCGATCTCCACCCATCCCTTCCTTCTAATCAATCCCTCTGCTCCCCTTATAACCGACTCAACGAACCCTTCGTCTCATTCGAATATACCTGCCTTCTTTCTTAGACTTTCCAACCAATAAACATCTAGCAAGCTACGTCATAGCTATCCGTGTGCAGCTATGATATCCATGTCATCCCCCATGTCCTACAAAGACGCCATCCAAGGATGTCTAACTTCCTTACACATACATGAACAGGGATATATAAATATATTTATATTTCAGTGATGCATTTTTCTTTGTTATTTGATAGAATTCGAAAGTTTAATCGACACAATGTTAGACTTTGAAAAGGACGCTGCACCCATGCGTTTTTTTTGTGAACATTTTTTGCAGCTCAGACCCAAGCCATTGGCTCGTACAACTGACTGATCGCCGAAACATGAACGTTTCAAGAATTCTTCAGCACAGCAAGTTCAATGATTCCACTCTTGACTATGACGTTGCCCTGGTGGAGCTCAATGCAACGTTGACATTCTCAAGCATTTTACAGCCAGCCTGCCTCCCTGAATCATACCAGCAGAACTACGCAATGGGGAAATCCTGCAGCATCGTCTACAACATTGGAGGTATCGTCTTTCATAATCGAACATAATTTATATTTTAATAGAGCGCCGTCACCCAAGGCACTTGACGTAGCATAAAAAAGATGACAGAAAGTAAAGATGTAGGGTTGAGGAATGAGTGACAGCCATTGAAAGTACTTTGGGGATGACGAAAGAGTATGGGAGGGACGGGAAGTCGTGGAGGGGCAAAGGAAGGTAAGAGGAAGAGAATTTGACAAATGGATGCAGTGTATATTTTGACGCATGTGTATGTGCAGCAGTTCCCAAAATGCTCAATGACAGTATTACAGTTCCCACAGATCCGTCACAGAGTCGCACACTTGATTTAAGTCTACAAAGGAAATCCAAAGACCCACCCCATACTCCCAACTCCTCTCTCTCTCTTAGCTATTGCACCGTGATGTATGACGAACTTCTTTCACACCGTTGATAGCCAACCATGGGTATCGGAGGTGGGGGGCAAGGACAGCAAGTGATGATGTCATCACTACAGCCCATCCCTTATCTGGATGGCTTCATGAACAAATTTCTGATGGTAGCCCGAGAGTTTGCAATGTCAGCGTTGAAACAATGATCCGCCAGCGCCGAGGTGTTGGTTCTACCGTGTTTCAAATCTGCTTTGTGTTCGCGAACCCAGTCTGAGACATGTCGCTTCGTTTCACCAATGTAACTGCTGTGGTGTGGCGGATCATTGTTTCAACGCTTTGGGCACACATGACATTGCTTTTTCCGAGACCAAGGTGCTCATGAAGCCACCCAGATATACAAACACAGACAAAACTTTAATTGAGAAGATGGATTCAGATTGAGCAATCATTGGAAGGACGTTATAAACCATGTCAAGTTTTAACTGCTGTGATTTTCACTCACCCACCCATGCTGTTTTATAAAAATACGCGTTTACTAATTCAAGACTCAAGTTTTAAATCTCATTGAAATGCTAATTTCTCCAGCCCCCACCCATCCTGCACAAGCCCTCCCCCCTCTCCCCTCCCCCCCGTAACCCCTCCACAGGCCGTGGTGGAGTAGCGCAGTTGGTAGCGCCCTCGCTTCTCATGCCAAAGGTCGCGGGATCGATCCCCGCGTCCTCCACAGGCGAATATATTTTAAATCCTTTATATTAAGTTCGCTTGCTTGCTTAGGACCGTGCAAATCTTTCGCTCGTTTTTTCACCCACTTCCCGTGATCCAATCGAGCTGACATTTTCCACACAGACTCGTTGTGTGTGACAATTAATTTTCGTGAATTTTTTTTTCCAAAATTTTACACTGTTTAGGGAAAACAAATTAAATATTTAATTACCAATTGCTTAATACTGGCAGACAATCATCTGACCCATAGATTGCAGCCATCTCAAGCCAGAGGACGAGAGAACTCTAGCCGCCACGCATATATAGGATTTAGAGTGAAAAACTTAGTTTTTACGGGTTTACTTGTTTCTATCTACGTGTCATTACCGAAATATCCAGATAGTATGGATTCCTGCAGTCATGAAAGCTTCAAATCAAGATTATCCTCCTAGAGTTACTACAATCCTATCTATCCGCCTTTCCATAACAAATATTTTTGGGGGTTTGATTGCGTAAATAGAAATGTGTCGTTAAGATTTGTCACCCAGCACAGCCAATTAAGGTTTATCACGTGAACAAAACGTGTTGGAGAGTAAACCCACAAAACCTTTACAGTATTATGAATCATATTGGTCGCAAAAGCCTATTATCCGCTCAGAGTATGTAATGGTACGATAATTGGTATATCCCAGTATTTGACAACTACCGTTTAAGAAATGGCTTTGATGATCTTTTTGTAATTCCTTCAATATGCTGTGACCCCAACTCATTGTGCGTCTTAGTAGTAATGCCACGCATTCCCAAAGCCTGAACTGATTTGATCTCAATCACTGATATTTCAATCTCTTCTAGGGTCGCCTCTTTCTTCTGGGTAAGGTTTTTTGAAAATAATTGTTACTGCAGAGTCCTTGTCAAATGCATTGTTGTCAACATAAAGACAAGGGAGTCTTGTCTACAATTGTCTGCTCATAAAATCATTATAGTTTACATTCAAGTTGTAATGTATTGTTCCCTCTGAGCACCACTTAAGGAAAATCGCCGTTTATTTTGTAATGGGGAGACCCTATCTTCTCGTAAGAATGGAGATACGGAGCCAGCTTGGTAAAGTATGTAATGGTTTTGGCGCGAGGACCTATTGTCGCTAAATGTGCTGAGCATCAGAGGGGCCTACTCACGGACTTTGTCCGTTACAGGTGACGATTGTGGAGATGAGAGTCGGTATGTGAGAGTGTTGGTTTATCCGAAACATATCGTAGTTGTTGTTAAAACCAAAAACATTTACGAAAACATTCTTTACCTTAGCTCATACATCTGTCCACTGCATGGCTCCTCCTTACCTCTCTTCTCTCATCTCACTTTACGTTCCTGCCCGCTCTTTGTTTCAAAGAACAAATTTGACCTAAGGTCTATGCTCATTTACCAGCTTCATATTCCCTAATGCCGTACATATGTAGGACTTGAAATATGGCGCGCCACGCGTTCTCTTGCACTGTTGCTATGCAAGAGAGAAGTATACAGCGGGGGGGGGGGGGGGGGGGGGGTATTTGAGGACGATGTTGTTGTTGAGGCGTGAGGGAGACGCCGTTAAGAGGTATAACAGGTGTTAAGGGTAACCGGGGTACAGCCCGGTGATTGGTTAAGAGGGTGAGTGCTTAATGACTGGCGTCGCTCAGGCGAGAATAACAAGGCCACGTGAGGCTGGGGGCCTGGGGGCGAGGGGTAAAGCGGGGGGTGAGATAATTAATAGGGACTGATTGGTGTGGATATAAAAAGGATAGCGTAATGTAGAGATGGGAGTCTTGGTCGGAGTCTCGGTGGGAGCTGGAGCGATGGGGAGCTGGAGTGATGGTGCCCAGGGAAGAGAGGAGCAGCAGTAAGTAGGGAGATACGATAAGGGTAACAGTGATAGAGAGAGCAGAGAGTACGGTAACTGTGAAGAGAAGAGCAGAGAGTACGGTAACAGTGATAGAGAGAGCAGTGAGTACGGTAACAGTGATAGAGAGAGCAAAGAGTCAGTGATAGAGAGAGCAGAGAGTACGGTAACAGTGATAGAGAGGACAGAGAGTAGGGTAGCAATAAATAGAGGGAACATGGTGTGCGGTAACAGTGGTAGCCATGCATCTGTAGGGTCTAGGGTAGGGTAGCAGCAGAGTATACGGACCTTGGGAGAGACGGAGAGAGAGCGGAGGGGAATCGCGGAGCGGAGCGAGGGAACGGAGAGACAGGCAGTGTCGTTAAGGACGGACGGTGGAACGGAGCGAACGGAGAGACACGGAGCGGTGACGATGAGGAGGTGAACTCTAAGTGTGAATAAATGGAACGGAAAGACATCCGGAGTACGAGTCCTACACATATACTGGGGGAAGGGCCTTTGCTATTGATGCCCCCAGGGTCTGGAATGCTATTGCCAATAAATTGCAACTTGAGTCACTACCTATGAGATCTTCAATCAAAACTGCTCTAGTGGAGTTGTACACCCCTTCGCTGCCAGTGCTATTCAATGGCCTAAAATAAAATGTTTCGCTCCGGATGATCGCTGCAAAGTATGGCCTGTGTTTTGATTTAGTGTGCTGATCTTAAAGGTGCATTGAAAAATTATGATACTCCGACTGATGCTCCTGCTGTTGTGGAGTGACTCATGCAGCCAGCTATGGCTGCAGGGTTTTGGTAGTACATGTTGTTTAAGTCGTTTATTGTGAAAATTCCGTCACAGTTCCTATGATCACTGTTTCATTGCTTTCATGGCTTTATTTTGGTGATTTCGACAAGTTTTTTGGTTTGGCCATGTTTGTTTGTTGTATTACGGAGTAAGACTGATGGCCTTAATTTAAGTTGTGTTGTTGTTTGACTTGCATCCCACTGGGATTTTTGCACACAGCGTTGGTGTACGGTGTTGTTTCTGCAATATTTTACTATCTTTTTTTGGATGTTCTGTTTGCACTTAATCACATATTCACTTTAAGATGTTTTCTTGTTCATGTTTGTTTTTTGTTTGTTGCGGTTGCACCCGAATCAAGGGCCGAATGGCTCACAGAACTATACCTAATAAATGAACTTGAACTCTGCGTTCCAAATCTTTGCTGTCTCTTTCTGTTCCTCTGCCTCCGTGTGCACAGTCTCGGTTTCGCTCGTTCTCTCTCCTAGCCTCTCTTCACTGGAATCAACTGCCCTTGCACGTCAAACAATCACCCTCTCTCGCTAACTTCTGCTCTTCTCTTAAACGCCACTCGTTCTCTCTTGCCCACCCTCTCTTGTCCCGTTATTATCCTCCCACGAGATCTAACGCCGCCTTCCCTGTCCCCCAAGTCCACATAATCACCCCCCACCATCAATCCACTCGTCTCTTTTCCATCGTCGTTTATTCCATGCATCGTCACCACCACCTCATTTCATACATGTGTAGTATCTTGAAGGAGACGGAGACTTTTTTAGAGGCCACACGCTCTTTATTCAATAACAGCTAGACATTCTGACGCACTGGGGAATAGCCTAACCACACAACCTAGGGAGGTACAGCCTCCGATCTATTCTAACTACTCTCCTTCCCTACCCTACGGCTCCTTAGCCTAGGGAAGCTTAACGCCCCACCCGCAGCCCACTCAGTCCCGGCTCGGCGGCATCCTCGGGGCTTGGGGTCCAGGATCTCCGGCGGCACCTTCCTTCAGCTTCAGATGAGATGGACTGACTCCAGCTCTCCGGGAGCCGTCTTATATATCCCCTCTCTGAGGGGCGGGGCTGTCTCGGGGCCCCGGCTCTCGCCAGCCCCCTCCCCTCAGAGCGGTTCCAACCGCCTCTTTGCCCGACCGGTCCGGACCAGTCCAGACCGGTACGTACCCCTCCCCTAGGTTGTGTAACCTGTGTCAACCTTGACCACCACACATGTACAGCGCATTGGTTAAGACGTTATATAAATGTATGATAATATAAGATACATTTATTCATTGAGTTTGAAAAATTGTGACCTGAGTCTGTAGGTTTTGGTAACGTGAATGAGGGAGGCTTTTGCCAGTTTTGAGGGATCGTCAAGGTATTTAATTGTTTAATTTCAACGTATATTAAGCTTCTTCACTCAGTAGGAGGTCCAGTTTTCGTGTTTAATAGTTTAGTTCTGTTTGAACATCTAAGCCAAGGGATGCCTACAGCTGCTGATGAAGTAATTGTAGTTTCCCGTCAAGATCGAACGTATTCGAAGTAATGCAGATATTATAATACGCAATGAAGGTTAATCTTGCTAAAAGTTCAGCTGTCAAAGAATCCTAGCCACTGATGAATTACTTGTAACGTTGGGTTTAGAAATAATGTTACGTACATCGGTAGTTTAATTGTTCGTAGTGGCTCAAGTTTATTACGCGATGTCTGTATTTTTGTTTCGCATTGTTGTATGATGGGTTAATTTAACCTTGGCAATAGGAGGTGTGTGCTATAATTGTAGTTGTTCGTCGTGCAATCTGTATATGTATAAGCTGCATCCACATTTGCATTGACAAAATCAAATGTACATTTTAGTTGTTGTTTTTTTATCTTTTCACTCGAGAGTTGTAACAAATCTATGAACTGGTACTATCAAAGGAATCTGATTGCATCCTGAAACTAATAATGATCTGAGTTTGTCAGGACATTGCCTTGGTCATTTAATCATATCATAAATTTTGCTCGCAACATAATTGAATGCATAGGCATAGGTCAAGTTAAGTAATTTTTTTTTACATATGTGGCGCCTTTTTGGCACAAATCTGCTACTCAAAACGCTATCATATTAATACTTAAAGTTTCATTGAAACATGTCTCTATAAATGTGAAATGTATACATATATACATGTGACTGTGTCTTGAATAGCAAACCCAATCCGTGCGGACCTCTCATGCTGTTTTTTTTTTCCTCCAAACATTTTTTCCATGGTCAGGTAGTCTGACGGGAATGCTCAGATTCTTTTGGGATCAACAACTATGCAGTTCCCCTGATGTCTATGGCAAAGCGATGACCAGTCGAATGTTGTGCACTAGAATCGACATATGCAGGGTGAGTACATTAATTTCGGTGTAATGTGAATGCGTGCTTTTGGTAGGTGTGTTTGTTTAATCCATAATAGAGGTTTTTTGGGTTAGATCTAGTAACTTTATAGATGTGTCGTTAAAACCCGCCACCACCCGACACAGCCAACCAGTCAGGGTTGTCACGTAAACAGAACGTGCCAATTCGTCACTAGTACAGCACACCGGTGTGTTGGAGAGCCAAGCCACAACATTTACAAACTGAGTACGACGTTCCACCAGTAATTACAACTAGCTTCATCAGGCGACAGCCAGATTGTTGGAGAAGTCTTCCTGTTTCGTTCTTTATATAGAGCCGTTTAAGTTTGTTGGTCGTTGCAGTTTTGAGTGTTGTTGAGTTAAAAGTCTGGCTAAGATAAACCCACCTGCATCCTCGTGTTATCAGACTATGACACTGAGAAAGGCTGATGCTAGTCGATTGGTTAACATCATGACATGCTCACATGCACCAGAATGGCTTAAGGGGATGGCGCATGCATGCATGTCACCGGTACTGACTGCACATTAAATTCAGTTTCACAAGCACCCTATATAAAATTTGAAAGTAAGCGTATTTCAAACCGCATGTGGCAGAGCCTGGGCACTGAAATCGCTCTTGGGGATCCGCCAGAAATTAGCAGCAACAACTGCTGCACGGAGGCTGCCAGTATTCTGCTGGGAGATGGATGAATATCACGTGGACATCTGTAAAATACAGGCGATCCGGTGGACTGTTACAAACTTCCGTCACCACGAGAGGTGGACGATTGTCGACATAAGATACCAGAACGTCTACTGGACATCTATGAAACAACTGGACATCCGTGAAAAAGGAGCATTATAGCTCATCGAAATAAATGTTCTGATTCTGAGTGATTCTTCTCCTGAATAAAAAGAAAATGCAATGAGGTGTGGGAAACAGTGAGGTCGAGGCTATTGTGGGCTCACCTTTCTAATTTTAGGAGGCTGGGAATGGTGGTGGTAGCCTATGCCTCCACAGATAATGGACGTCTCAGGAGGGATGCAGGCAAGGCTCCAATGTCAGTTACCTTCTACGACTCATCTAATTGTTTGACTTTTATGCCCGAGTAGGTAATGACACTAGGAACTGAGAAGGAGTGATTGTGGTGATGTAACCATCACTTAATCACAAATGGTGGCTATTGTTATTGAGATTAAAGAACGATAGCAGGTAGCATTGCTTCAGAGTTTAGAACACTGAATTGTGAACCTGGCACCCGAGATAAATTCCTAATGATGGTCAATGTTAGAGACAAGTTAGTTAAATGAGAATCAATTCCGGTCCTCCCCTTGGTAAAATAAGCCTTAAATGAGTACTGATTGGGTGTCAATATCAACTATGGGGAAACAAAGTGGACCAGGTGTAGCTCTGACCATATGACCCCGGTGTGCCATTCCAAACAAATATCTCGCCACGGTCGCGAAATGTTAGCAGCACGCCTAGTATATAGGAGATTGTGGGTTCAATCCCGACCCTGACGCGTGCTGTATATTTGGAGTGTGTATGTTCTGCCTGTGCACATGTCATTTTTCTCTGGGTTCTTCCTTCCATGTTTAGAATGAACGTGCGTTTAGAGTATTTGGCTAAAATATATATTTCCACGTGATAAGCCACTACGTTGAGCTATTATTTGTGATAGCCAGGTCGCTTCTGAAAAAGAGCTATATAGCTCAGTGGGCCTTACCTGGTAAAATTAAAAATAAAATAAAGTAGGTGCTCACAAACAGAAATTGCTCGACCAGGAGTTTAGATTTTGATTTAAAGCTTTCGTGACTGCAGGGATTCATCTTCTTGGTTCTTTCGGTAAAGTCACAGAGAATGGAAACAAAAAAAATAATGAAATAAAACATAATATAATTCTCACGACGTTTCGGCGACAACGCAAGCAGCCGTCTTCAGGTGACAACGTAAGCAGCCGTCTTCAGGTGAAGACGGCTGCTTGCATTGTAGCCGAAACGTCGTGAGAATTATTTTATTATGTTTTATTTGATTATTTTTATTGTTTTCATTCTACCTGACTTTACCGAAAGAACCAAGAACAGGAGTTTAGATTTCGCGAGGGGGTGTTTGTCCATAATACGTATCATTGTGTCATTCCAGGAACATGACGGGGCACCTTTGTTGTGCAGAGACGTGGACCGCAGGTGGTATCTTACGGGATTGTCCAGCTGGGGAAAGTGTGACACCAAGCCAGATGTCTTCGCCAGAGTTTGGAAGTTCCTCCGTTTCATAAAACAAAATGCCATTTAGTCTGTCGAAGTGCCATCATGTGAACCCAGACTTATAAAACACTCGCCCTATAATTTAGACCTAAACATGATAATCGATCTTATAGCCCAAAGATACAATTCACCATTTAGCATAATATTCAGACATACAAGACAACTTAGACCCTATAGTATAGACCTACTAGTTAATATATGGCATATGTCACGGACTTAGAATGAAAAAGTCATCTAATATACAAGATGTGGAACACACCATCTATCCTGTAGCCAAGACCTAGAATTTAACAACTACTGTATCGGCAGATTCCATGTGTGGATGGTGAACTTATTTCGCACCATACCTAGCCAACTATGCTCGTCAGAGGTGCAGAAATGATCAACATGCTACATGTTATATTTAACATATATTTAACATCTAGCATGTAGATCAAACCTACAATTCTGAAAGCATGCTATATCCCAAAAATGCAATGCAACAGACACCCAAAACACAATAAACATCAACCCTAAAAACAACTCAATATTCACTCTCCAGCCCACACCTAAAATGCAACGTACACCCTATTGCGCATAACTATGAGACAACATCTGCCAAATAGACCAGACCCAATGCTCAGCAAACACTAACACTACCGGTAGTGTCGGCGAGATTTGATTATTATATATCGCTACTGGATGTCTGCCACAAAACATTGCGAGGCTGCAGCGTGTACAAAACTCTTTCGCATGTGTTGTGAAGGGAACTGCAATATTTGACAATGTCCGTCCAACGAATACATTATCAGGTCACACTCATTACATACAACGTGCTTGCCTCAAATGAGCCACACTACCTTGCTGATATCGTCAATGAGCAACAATTATTACGCGAACTCTCATCCTCACAACGAATTTTGTCGAGCCATCGAACAAAAATGGTCACTGCATCGTGCGCTTTCAGATGTGCTTCTGCGGCCGTGTGGAATGCTCTTCCTTTCAAAATTAGGAAGCCACTGAAGCTATGCACTTTTAAATCTAGATTAAAAACGAATTTCTTTATAACTGCTTTTTGTATTTAGCTTTTTGTCTTTGCCCGTACCTCCGATTCGCACGAGTGGCTATGTACGATGCAAAAGACGTTCAACATACATACAACTGTTGAAATTTGTAATCTAGGTCTATAATTCAACATTAGCCACATAGCTGAAAATAAGAACCAATATGTACACTTTTTCCCACTTATAGAATACAAAATCTATCCTGTTACCAGGCCTAAAACTTTACATCCATCCTGACAAGGCTGAGTGGCATAATGCAGCTCTGTCAAAATTTTGCAGGTGTCTTATACGGTGTCTTATACAAATATACAGTCCGAAATACAGTGGATGTAAACTATTCTGTGACGTTATTCAAAACTATGCAATTTTAGTGATTACCGTAATAATTGGTGTATGCTCTTTTGCAAATCTAGGACCTTTAAGCACCCACAATATGGAAATCGTCATCCCGTATCCCTATTATTTAGACATATATCCCATTGACCATATTCAGAAGTTAATACCAGTGCTTGTAGAGCGGAAATATGTAGAATACAACATTTACACCAGACCTATACTTCATATTCAGTCATTTTGGCCAGATCTGCAATTCAACACTGATGTTCTCTTTGATAAACTATTAATATGGTTTGTTTGTTTACTAAATATTTTTGTCCTAGGGGAATTGGGGAATTGGTTAAGATCATTCATGGTTAATTGTGATTTACAGCGCCCTGATGAATAATCATTTTATATAGTCGAGACTTAATTTGAACTTGTGGTGTAAAACATGTGGTGAAAAGGGGATCATTCATATTAAAAGGCAGTGAATGAGCATATAATAGGAAGCACGCTCATCTGGCTTACATTTAGATTGTTTATGTTTTGTTATTATTTTAAAAACGTGCTCCTCTGGGGTTAATATTCTAAATCTCCAATAATGAGGATTAAACATCCTGAATCTCTTAACCTTACCTATTCTATGACTGCAATGCAAATTCGGTCCCGTTTTCGCGTATTCAGATTCCTCCAGTCGAAATAAAGATTCTGATTCTGATATATTGGTGTCGAGCAACGTTCAATTATGATGTCCGGTGATTTGTAATTGTTATTGTTTAACATCGACGCTCATCATTATAATCATCTCACGCATTGTGAGATGATGCCTCCCACTGCTTATTACAATCTCTAACAGTCTCTCGATGTGACAATGCAGTTTAACTCTTTAACGCACACTAATAAACTGATTTAAATCACTATCTTCATGATCGTTGTGCACTTGAACACCTTCACTCCTTTTGAGCCATTCCTCCGCCAGTCTTGTCCACTGGTCACACTACCTGACGTTGACATCCCGCAAAAGCCCACTTCCATTAACAGTTTCCTCTGTGGTAGCAATTACATTGGAGAAACCAAACGACATGTCTCGGACCGCATCCGTGAACATAAACAGACCTGAAACACGGTAGGACAAACACCTCAGCCGTGGCAGATCACTGTTACAATTCAGTGGGCTCACATGACATTGACTTCTCCAAGACAGAGGTTCTTTGCAAGCCATCTGGCTACCATGAGAGATTCGTTCATGAGGCGATCCACATATACAAACACAGAGACAATTTCAACCGAGAAGATTGATTCTGGCTCAGCAATCATTGGAAGGACGTAATAAACCATTTCGGATCTTAACTGATTGTTGTTCACGTTTACGGTGACGTTCAGACCGCAGTCCACTCACTGGCATTGACTGTGTATCTTGTGTTCTCCACAGGGAATACATTATTTGCTCCGCTGCGGGTCTCCTTCCACCGCTCTCCTATTGACATGTTTCATTGCTTCTACATACTTTTAACATTTCCTCCCTTTGTTAATGCTACCCCCTACCCCCTCCCTTTGATGCTGCTAATCCTATATAATGCATGGCCATAATATGACTTTGAAACCCCCCCGCCCACCTCCTACACATTTCCCATAAATATGCTAAATTCCTCTTGATATGCAAATTCTTTTGTCAAGGCGCTCTTCTTCCACCTCCAACCCAGCTTATATATACGCTACAAGCTTGGCAGTGTTTCATTCTTCACCTGAAGACGGCTGCTTGCTTTGTAGCCGAAACGTAGTGAGAATTGTATTTTAGAATGTTTTTTTTTTATTACTTCCCTTCTACGTGACTTTACCGAAAGAACCAAGAAGATGAATCCTTGTGTAACGGGTTCCGGAGACACTTGTAGATGTAACTTCTTTATTACAATACAACACTCCAACAGTCCTGATACTCTGTTACAGCCTAGGTACACAGCCTAGATACTCTACTCTGGCTACGCTCTGGACTCGCCCTCACAAGGTCGTAGTGTCGGGAGTTCCAGAGTCCCAGCGCTGGCTCTCACAGCATCCCAGGGTCTTCAGATGGCTGGTCGTGGGTCTTGGGTCTTGAGTTACAACTGGGCCCCGATCGTCCAGGGAGCTCTCCTTTTATGCCTGGTCCAACGAGGGGTGGGGCCGTGTGCGCCACCAGACATCCCACAGAGCACACACAGCCCCCCCCCCCCCCCCCGTTGGCGGCGCCCAGGGGATTAAGCGCCTGGGAACTCAACGCCTGGCGCCCAGAGGCTTAAGCGTCTGGACCCCCTGGGAACCCAGCGCCTGGCGCCCAGAGGCTTAAGCGTCTGGACTCGCCTGGGATCCCAGAGCCCCCAGCAGCCCCTCCCTTCTTATGTCACTACATTACCCCCCTCTACGTAGCCTCCAGCCGTCCCGGCTGTCAATAATTAGAAAGTTTAATTTAACGAAAGGGAGAGAGAGAGAAAAAAAAATATGCGAGCCTCAACAGGAAAAGAAAAGAGAACAAGAAAGCAACCATAAAAACCATAACCAACCTGTACAACTCTACACTATATACAAGCATCAATCAACAAAAAGGTGAAGCAATAACACGCGAACAAACGACCCGCGGCACACCTAGCTCTCCTCAGGATCCGCATAGAAAACGGGGAATTAACAACAAATATACAGATTCCGACGCGTTGGATGCACAACCAACACCGGTAATCGAACCGAAATCACACAACCACCGCATGGATGGCAGGGATCCACACCACTCTGCCAGCCTCCCATCCGTCAGGTGGAGAGAAGACGAAGACCAACATGTCGAGCATCCCTCTACACACACTTATCCGGACGTCTGTCTACGTCCCGGGTCGAGAAGTCGTACTTCAGGGCCGACCCATGTACTGGGCAAAGAAGTCGCACTTCAGGGCTGCTCCAGTATCTACATTTTTAAATATATATATATATAATTTACATGACACAACCAAAATAAATCTGCCTGCTCCTATCCATAAATGGTGGCCGCACGCGCGAACCGCATCTCCAAGGCATCCCGTGCTTGCGTCCCAGCAGCCCTCAATGAGGACCACCACCGACATTACATGTCAACCGTTAGCACCCCCCGCCTTTCCAACGTGGCGTCTCCATCCTAAAACCGCGCACGTCGGCCATATCAGGGGGGACTTCAACCCAGTCTCTTTCCAAGACTCGCATCGCAGCATATAGCTGTACCGACCGATCTGAGACCCAATCTCTCTCCAAGACTCGCATCGCAGCATATAGCTGTACCGACCGATCTGAGACCCAACTTCTCTCCAAGACTCGCATCGCAGCATATAGCTGTACCGACCGATCTGAGACCCAACCTCTCTCCAAGACTCGCATTGCAGCATATAGCTGTACCGACCGATCTGAGACCCAACCGCTCTCCAAGACTCGCATCGCAGCATATAGCTGTACCGACCAATCTGAGACCCAACCTCTCTCCAAGACTCGCATCGCAGCATATAGCTGTACCGACCGATCTGAGACCCAACCTCTCTCCAAGACTCGCATCGCAGCATATAGCTGTACCAACCGATCTGAGACGACCCATTGTTCACTCCCTGCACAACATGCACCCTGACAACTGAGGGATACAGTCCCAACGTAACGGGACAACTACACCTGAACACCACGAATCTCCAGCCCACTGTTTCAACGCGCCTCGGAGTGTTTCAATCTCCGGGCCGTCAGGGTGAGCCTACTGCTCCAGACGTACCATGGAGGGTCTCAACCTCCGGGCCGTCAGGTCAAGCCGTCAGCTATTCCATGACGGGACCACACTCTCCGAGCCCTGTGAGCGCACAGCCCACTAGGCTAGACATGCCACGGAGTGTTTCAATCTCCGGGCTGTCAGGTCAAGCCGTCAGCCATAGCATGACGGGACCACACTCTCCGAGCCATGTGAGCACACAGCCCACTAGGCTAGACATGCCACGGAGTGTTTCAATCTCCGGGCTGTCAGGTCAAGCCGTCAGCCATAGCATGACGGGACCACAACTCTCGTGTTAGACACGCAACACCCACTGGGACATCCTGGTCAGGATCTGCGCCCCAAGATATTTGAGAGCCAGCATTACAATTCCAATCCTTAGTAGCATGTCACCATCTCAAGATAAATGCCCCATACAGTATATACATCGTTAACAATGACAGCACAAGCTATACATTAACAATCACGAACAAAGCTCAATATAAACCATACATTGTTAACAATCACAAACAAAGTTTCGCACACACATTGACAACACTCACGGGCGAAGCTCAACACAGTTTACCCAACAACAGTCACGACTCCCCGACGACAACGAAGAAAATGTCAACAAAAAAATCATTAATCCGGAGCGCGTAAATGTACGAAGTGTGAGGGGCCTGGTCTCCCGACCTCCAACCTTTGGCCAGAGCAGCAGAGGCGGCGACCTGCGTGTCGGTCCATGTGCCGGCCCCGGCGCTGGTTACAGTAAGAATGGCGCCCTCACTGTCCGGTCGCAGCGCTGATGACGCGGTATGCTAGGTTGCCAACAGCTGTCGTCCGGCAGTGAGGGACGCAGCGCTGATGACGCGGCGTCGTCGGGTTGGCACACGCTGGGCCCGGAAGTGACGTCGCTCCCAGCGGTCACTGCTCCTCTGGTGGAAGTGATGTCATTCCCGGAAGCATCTCCCACATCCGTGGGGGGGAATGGCGGCGGCGGCGGGCTCGGGCGAGCGCCGCGCCTCCTCTCTCCCTCCCGCCGCCATCGGCCGCGAGCACCGCAGCTCGCCCAGGAGGGAGGCGGTGGCGCAGAGCAGCTCTGCGAGGCGAAGCAGCGCCTCCTCCATCTCTGCTCCCGACGCTGGAGAGGGGACGGTCGGCGGAGCAGACAGCTGCTCAGCCGGCGGTGCGGCGTCGCTGTCGGCCGGCGTTGGCCGCCCCATCGCTGCCTGCTCCTCTTCATCGCCGTCAGGACTGAAGGTACGTGGCTTACTTCTTGTCTCCATAGCCACTTCTAACACCAAATGTAACGGGTTCCGGAGACACTTGTAGATGTAACTTCTTTATTACAATACAACACTCCAACAGTCCTGATACTCTGTTACAGCCTAGGTACACAGCCTAGATACTCTACTCTGGCTACGCTCTGGACTCGCCCTCACAAGGTCGTAGCGTCGGGAGTTCCAGAGTCCCAGCGCTGGCTCTCACAGCATCCCAGGGTCTTCAGATGGCTGGTCGTGGGTCTTGGGTCTTGAGTTACAACTGGGCCCCGATCGTCCAGGGAGCTCTCCTTTTATGCCTGGTCCAACGAGGGGTGGGGCCGTGTGCGCCACCAGACATCCCACAGAGCACACACAGCCCCCCCCCCCCCCCCCCCCCGTTGGCGGCGCCCAGGGGATTAAGCGCCTGGGAATTCAACGCCTGGCGCCCAGAGGCTTAAGCGTCTGGACCCCCTGGGAACCCAGCGCCTGGCGCCCAGACGCTTAAGCGTCTGGACTCGCCTGGGATCCCAGAGCCCCCAGCAGCCCCTCCCTTCTTATGTCACTACACCTGCAGTCACAAAAGCTTTAAATCGAAAAGTCCATATGATAGTTTAACACGTAGGCTGTCGCGACCAATATCATCCATATTAGAGGTATTTTGGGCTATATCGCGTTAATATACAAATGTGTCGTTAAAACCCGC